CACCAGTACGCCCCGCGTACTGGCGGAGAGGCTTCCAGCCTCCTATAAATAGGATGCGAGGGTTCCGGGTTCCATTGCTAATTTCCTCTCGTTTTTGTGCCAAAGCTCTGCGGTTTACCCCCGAAGCCATCCCGAAGCCCCGGTAATATTCCCGAGTCCGAAGCGAGTCCCGAGATCCCGAAGATCCCGAGAAGTGCGGTTTCCGAGCCGAAGCTCTGCCGCGAGAAGTTCGATTTTCGTAGAGATCTTCCAGATCTACGGAGGATTATTACTTTTGCGAGTCGTAGTGTTGTCCGATCATCTTCTGATCAAGTGAGTGTATACTACCTTTCATAAACGCAATAATAATACAAGTATGGTTCGAGGGTATTAAGTTTATTGTCGTTTATACGTGTGAATGCGTTGTTACTTTCTCATAACGTATAACTATGAAGTATTTTATACGAGATACGTGTTATGTGTATATTTTGTTATTATGTGTGTGAATGTATATTCACTTTCTTCTATCTTACAGATATGATTATTTCTATATGAAATACGTGTTATGTGCGTGTGCCTCATCTGTTATATGGAAAATGTTTGATCAAGCATGCTATACAGGTTTTGAAAATATGTATAAAATGTATGTTTTTATCTACTAATATGTTGGGTAGAACATGGGTAGATAGTTGGTGTGTAATAAACAGATGAGAGGCCTCGTTGTTGTTTGATCCAGTCATCTAGCGGAATTTAGATGACGACCACGGACTTTTCTAGATAGTCATGTGGAACGCTAGCAGGCTCATAACCTGTAGGTGTTAATGAACTGGATGTTCATTCGCTGTATTCCATCCCCCTCATGGTTGCCTTATTTGACTTATATTGCTGAGGAAACCCCGCAGCATGTGTTGTCACCCCGATGAAAATATTCTTAGATTAGGTCCCTTGTGTTAGTTATTTTAGGGACGTAAAGTGAGAATAACGGGAATGGGTAACTGGGTTATTCTTGGTTGATAATAATTAATTTAATTATTTATTGTGGGTTGAAAACCCTATATGCTCACCAGGCTCCCAAGCCTGACCCACTCAGTTTTATTTGTATTACAGGAAGTGGCGCAAGGGCGTAAGATGGATGAACCATCAAGTTGTTTTTTTGCAAGTCTGCATATGTTTATATTTGTTATATGACTTGTAATGTATTCGTTTATGCTTATTGGTCTGTATCGGAACATGACACCCCGAGTTTTGATTATAATGAAAATACATTTCTTTTATGAAATGCTTTGGTAAACATCGTTTTATCATGTTTTGTTTTTGGGAACAGATTCCGCAACTCTTTCAAATCAAAAGGATTTACTCTGAAAATATTTAAAAGCATAAATGAAAATCGGTATTTTCTGGCCGAGATTTTGGGATGTCACATACATCAAACTAGCTCCCAAAACGATGTAGATGGTAGATCCACTTCCTCTTCTTCAATCCAAGCCTCCAATCTTTGATTTCTTTTAATGAAAGTACCGAAACACACTTTAGCTCCTCACACACTCAAGAATGGGGTCTAAATCAATTAGGGTTTCCTTTTAGCCGTCAACAAGTGATAAGGGAGCTAAATGAAGTGACTTAAGGTCCTTTAAATAGGGTGCAAACCCCGAAATTAGGGTTTTCTCATTCCAACTCCAACTCGTCGAGTATGTCCTCTGACTCACCGAGTTGGTCACTTAAGTTTGCGGTCCAACCGCATTCCTACTCGATGAGTCAGGGCATCCAACTTGTCGAGTAGACTTTTCAATATGAAAGAATAAGACTGAAATTAATACCTGAGAGTCGGAGCATTACATTTGTATTAAAATTAAAGAAACATGTAGTACATTGTATTTAAGATTAAAGAAATGATGTCGTGTTTGCAAGGCATTAGCGATCCGTAGGAACACATTCCTACTCAAACGAAATCTTCTTTTGAAGTCTTTCGACCCGTATACACAATTATCCACAAAGTAATCGCGATATAGACATTCGTGTTCTTCGTAACGATTTTTATTTAACAACACACGTCCTGTTAGTAATGGGGTTGGGGCTGAGTCTGGTTGTAGCATCTCGTTAGTGTAATAATGGTACATCATAGTGAAAAATATATCGTCACCGTGATCGAACGAATCGAAAGGATTCATAATTTTTTTTGAAGATAATTGAAATTGTAGAGAGAGAGAGAGAGAGAGAGAGAGAGAGAGATATTTAGCTTTAGTGATCTAAACGAGAATCGAAGATCTCGTTGTTAGTATCAAAGCGATAAAAAGTTAGGCGACAACGGACGTCAAACGAAGAAGTTATGAATTTATAACGAAATTTTCTGTCCCGGCCTATTAAAAATAAATAATAAAAATAAAATCAAAATTAGCCGACGGAGTCTAAACGAAAGTTGTAGAGCGTAGTCTCACCTTTCCGTGGATATAAAGAACGTCGAAAACGGAGTTCGTATGAAGAAGATATGAATTTCCGAAGTTTGATAAATAATTTGTATTTATTTTTAAATCAAAATTCGGAAGCCTTATCCGAAGGCGAGTCATCGATCCGATCCGACTTACGCGCCGCGTACTCCGAAAGTGTCGACATCGCAGCAAGTGGCTTCGGATGATGTAAGCAATGACGTTTCTCGCACCAGTACGCCCCGCGTACTGGCGGAGAGGCTTCCAGCCTCCTATAAATAGGATGCGAGGGTTCCGGGTTCCATTGCTAATTTCCTCTCGTTTTTGTGCCAAAGCTCTGCGGTATTACCCCCGAAGCCATCCCGAAGCCCCGGTAATATTCCCGAGTCCTGAAGCGAGTCCCGAGATCCCGAAGATCCCGAGAAGTGCGGTTTCCGAGCCGAAGCTCTGCTCGCGAGAAGTTCGATTTTCGTAGAGATCTTCCAGATCTACGGAGGATTATTACTTTTGCGAGTCGTAGTGTTGTCCGATCATCTTCTGATCAAGTGAGTGTATACTACCTTTCATAAACGCAATAATAATACAAGTATGGTTCGAGGGTATTAAGTTTATTGTCGTTTATACGTGTGAATGCGTTGTTACTTTCTCATAACGTATAACTATGAAGTATTTTATACGAGATACGTGTTATGTGTATATTTTGTTATTATGTGTGTGAATGTATATTCACTTTCTTCTATCTTACAGATATGATTATTTCTATATGAAATACGTATTATGTGCGTGTGCCTCATCTGTTATATGGAAAATGTTTTGATCAAGCATGCTATACAGGTTTTGAAAATATGTATAAAATGTATGTTTTTATCTACTAATATGTTGGGTAGAACATGGGTAGATAGTTGGTGTGTAATAAACAGATGAGAGGCCTCGTTGTTGTTTGATCCAATCATCTAGCGGAATTTAGATGACGACCACGGACTTTTCTAGATAGTCATGTGGAACGCTAGCAGGCTCATAACCTGTAGGTGTTAATGAACCTGGGTGTTCATTCGCTGTATTCCATCCCCCTCATGGTTGCCTTATTTGACTTATATTGCTGAGGAAACCCCGCAGCATGTGTTGTCACCCCGATGAAAATATTCTTAGATTAGGTCCCTTGTGTTAGTTATTTTAGGGACGTAAAGTGAGAATAACGGGAATGGGTAACTGGGTTATTCTTGGTTGATAATAATTAATTTAATTATTTATTGTGGGTTGAAAACCCTATATGCTCACCAGGCTCCCAAGCCTGACCCACTCAGTTTTATTTGTATTACAGGAAGTGGCGCAAGGGCGTAAGATGGATGAACCATCAAGTTGTTTTATTTGCAAGTCTGCATATGTTTATATTTGTTATATGACTTGTAATGTATTCGTTTATGCTTATTGGTCTGTATCGGAACATGACACCCCGAGTTTTGATTATAATGAAAATACATTTCTTTTATGAAATGCTTTGGTAAACATCGTTTTATCATGTTTTGTTTTTGGGAACAGATTCCGCAACTCTTTCAAATCAAAAGGATTTACTCTGAAAATATTTAAAAGCATAAATGAAAATCGGTATTTTCTGGCCGAGATTTTGGGGATGTCACATACATCAAACTAGCTCCCAAAACGATGTAGATGGTAGATCCACTTCCTCTTCTTCAATCCAAGCCTCCAATCTTTGATTTCTTTTAATGAAAGTACCGAAACACACTTTAGCTCCTCACACACTCAAGAATGGGGTCTAAATCAATTAGGGTTTCCTTTTAGCCGTCAACAAGTGATAAGGGAGCTAAATGAAGTGACTTAAGGTCCTTTAAATAGGGTGCAAACCCCGAAATTAGGGTTTTCTCATTCCAACTCCAACTCGTCGAGTATGTCCTCTGACTCACCGAGTTGGTCACTTAAGTTTGCGGTCCAACCGCATTCCTACTCGATGAGTCAGGGCATCCAACTTGTCGAGTAGACTTTTCAATATGAAAGAATAAGACTGAAATTAATACCTGAGAGTCGGAGCATTACATTTGTATTAAAATTAAAGAAACATGTAGTACATTGTATTTAAGATTAAAGAAATGATGTCGTGTTTGCAAGGCATTAGCGATCCGTAGGAACACATTCCTACTCAAACGAAATCTTCTTTTGAAGTCTTTCGACCCGTATACACAATTATCCACAAAGTAATCGCGATATAGACATTCGTGTTCTTCGTAACGATTTTTATTTAACAACACACGTCCTGTTAGTAATGGGGTTGGGGCTGAGTCTGGTTGTAGCATCTCGTTAGTGTAATAATGGTACATCATAGTGAAAAATATATCGTCACCGTGATCGAACGAATCGAAAGGATTCATAATTTTTTTTGAAGATAATTGAAATTGTAGAGAGAGAGAGAGAGAGAGAGAGAGAGAGAGAGAGAGAGAGAGAGAGAGAAGAATTGTGTGAAAGAAAGTGTAAATAGATAGTAGGTATTTATAGGTAAAGAATAATTAATTTTTTTTTAAGTTAAATTTTTTGTATTAGATTTGATTGTTGTCAAACGGTTCAAATGGTCAAAATTTGTTCGTTTCATCCGATCAAGACGACAACGAGATGCACCATGACGAGATACAACGAGAAAGGGGGAGGGGTGTTCATCTCGTTATGACGCCGTTGAAGCCCCTCCACATCAGCCATAATGTCGTTTTGGTGCCCATACCGCATCGTCTCATAACTGAAACATGATCTATCGTGTCTCGACATAAACCCCACCGGTTAAAAACAATATTATTGTAATCTTAATTCTTAATGCATATTACCTTTGAATTATTAAATTATTATAGCATTACTCCTAATTATATGGACTTTTTGTATGTAGGATTTTCCTCGATGTATACATAAATATTGGCATTCAGCGTATTCTTCCTTTAAAATGCTTAATTACCTTTGGGTTAAATGGTGCTTAAATTGTCTTCACTTATTGCTGAAAAAAACCATGATGATGAAACTTAAGGTTATATAAAAATGAACTTTTTCAAATTCAAGGAACAAATGGTGAGAGTATAACTTATTCAAGTTGATCAAGTATTTTTTTTTTTTTTTTTTTTTTTGATAAATTACGTTTTAGGTCTTTTAATACAGCTGAGTTTGCAATCTTGATCTTTATCGAGGTTTTTCTAAATTTATTGTCCATATTCCAACAAAATGGCTACATTTGTTGGGACCAAATTAGCAAAATACGCTCACCAAAAGGTTACGAGAACTTTATTAAGGACCAAAACCTTTTTTTTTTTTTGAAAGGGAACTTCCCTAACGAGGGTTTCCGGGCCAGCTTTCGCGCACCGACTAATCCCCCGCTGCAAACATAAAGCTTTGTCTCATGCCCTGGAGTCACTGCAGGCGAACCTCCATAGCCACAAGGGCTAAGTGGTGCCAGGATTTGAACATGGGTCAATAGGTTATCCACCATATCTTCCACATGCCTTACCAAGTCACCACAACCCAAGTGGTTAAGGACCAAAACCTTAACAACTTTTTCGGACGAAAACAAACAACAAAAATGTTTCTTCGCTATTCTCTTTTGTGTTATGAACTACGTAGTTGAATTTCAAATGCAGAACACAACGATTTTGACCTACAGTGGGTTTGCACATGTTAATGATCATGTGCTAAATGATAGACAAGTACATAAATTTATCATCGGCGTTTTTTTCTTCTTGTGAATGATAATGTAATATTCAAAAATACATTCAATTTAAATTTACCCTTTTGATCTGATACAACTTAACCTATTTATTTTAGGTAAAAAGCAATGGGGTATCACCTATTTTCATTTATGTAAAAAAAAACAATGGGGTATCACCTTCTTGCCTTTAATTGTTCCATTTTTACTTTATTGAAGGTTTTGGTGTATTAAAAGATGCAATGAGCACTGTTGCAATGTGCACTATGTGTGATATCTAGAGTAAAGTCAATATTGACAAGAGCTCTGTAAAGATTTGATGCAAGGAAATCGAAGCTGCTGGCTTAATATGTTTGTGTTATTCAGGTGTACATACAAGTGTGCATGTTAGAAATAAATCCCAAGTAAAACTCCCAAATAAAAAGAACATTCCTAAATAATAGTAAACTTGATAACCAAGTAACTAGCTCTTCATGCAACGAGGAATTCATCTCACACCATGCAACATCATCAAAACACAACTCCTAAACAAAATTCATAATAAGGTCAATACATTTCCAATAAAATACCATATTACCATATACAACATACCACTCAATGATAGTAAAATGCGAGGCATAGGAAATGAAAACTATAAATGTTAAAAGCTCTCAAAATTCCTGTAGGCATGCCAGAAATGACTGAATACTTGGAAGCATATGTTATACGTAACAAAGCATCACATTGGCTATTCTTTACAATCGTGTTAGACAAAAAAAAAATGGCATTTATCAAACAACACAAGCAACTACCCAAATTCTGAAAAGATAACATATTACATACATGTCCCGAAGAGTCCTTAAACTCCACTGATCTGTGAGCTTATTGAGACGTAAATAGCAAGAAGCATTGATTGATTCCCCACAGTTTCATATCCATACAAAGTTACTATACCTTCACATACTTATCAACATATCCCTGAAAAAAAAAAGAAAAGAAAAAATGTTTAACGTTATCAACGTTAAAATAAACATGAAATAATTTATTTACCATAACAAGCTTTGTGAGCTTTCTTTGCGAGGAATCTATATATTGATTTATTTTGGGTTGGGACTTTGGTATTTGATGTTTCTTCATAGCTCCAGACACTTTATCAACTGTCTTCTTAACAATCGTTTTAAACGCCTCTTTACTCATATTCCCCTGTCTCCAAGACGGCTTCAAAACCTCCTTCACAAACTCCGCAAGCGAAACCTTAAAAAGCTTCATCGATCTCGAATCTTTGTTTTTCTTGATTTTCCCGGGGTTCTTCACTTGATCGATCTCGACCTCTCCCGTCGCGACATCTGGCAGGTCGATCGGAGAGCTCGGACTATCGTTTTCCACCGCACCCACCTCAGCATCCCCCGTCTCACCAAACTCATCGTTTTCCACGTCAGCAGCAGCCTCTTTCTGCTTCGTGTTACCGTTTCCTTCTTCCAGATTTGAAGACGGCTCGATGCTGTCGAAGAGCGGGTCGTATTGGTTGTAAGATGTCCCTGTGTCTTGACTGATATTGGTGGTCAACGGGTGGTCAAAGGTGGACGCGTAAGGGTTGTAGTGGGTGGTTAAGATTCTAGATTGTCCAATGTAAGGTTGCTCCAAGGGTATTTCGGTCACATAGGGTCTGAAAAACGGTTGAAAAGGGTAGTTGAGTTGAAGCGGCGGCTGAGTCTGAATCTGATGATACTGTAACAATGGGCCGCTGATTTGAGGGCGGGGTGGTGGTGGTGGAAGTGGAAGTGGAAGTGGAAGATTGTTCCAGGTGGAAGGAGGCGGAAAGGGCAACAGAGGATAATTTGAAGAAACTGGGACAGGTGGCGTAACTGATTCGGTTACAGGTTGTTCAGGTGGTTGGTCAATGGAATTGACTTCTTCGCATTGACCTGAAGGGTCAACAAACTCTTCTTTGACCTTGTCACTACTTCTATCCGATACCTCTTGGTGTTTGTTTTTATGACGTCTAAATTCGTCATTTTTTTCAGATTCATGAAAGTTGTGACACCGGGCCCCACGTTGACTTTTGTTCCGTCTGGTCCAGTCAGCACCGGTTTCTTCCCGTTCCCGTTCCCTGTATGGTGACCTGCTCCTGCTTCTTTTCTTGGGGGACCAGCTGCAAAAAACACATACATTGGTAACTTTTATACCCAAAAAAACAGCATTAATTACAATAATACCTGCGAGACCGACTACGTTTCTCTCTCCTCCTACGTGGGCTCCGCCTCCTCCTTACATTAGGGGATCGACTCCTACTTCTACCTCTTTTACCACGCCTCCTGTTGTGGTCATCAGAGTTGTCACTGACACCACCTGTTTTGACTAGTCTCCCAAACTCATCCACTTCTAATTTAGCATTACTATCATCTTGTTTCTCCAAATATTCTGTTGTTGAGGAAGGTTCTGGAATTTTAGATGATGTATTCAAAGAAGCTTCCACAAGAGGTGCAGATAATACTGTAGTGTCTTCTTTACTATGTGGTGAGAGTGTTACAGGACTGACGTTTTCAAAATGTAGTCCATCATCATTTTCAGAGGTATCATCAGAAGCGTAGCTTTGTATAAGTCTGATTGGGTTTGTGCCTTCAATGAGTTCACCTGATTGGTTCACAGCTGAAGATTCAGAGATGAATATATTTTCATCTGTTGCAGCTTTGTGTGATATTTGTTGTGAATTGCATGCATGTTTTTCCACTTCATTGGATGTAAAATCAGGTTTATGCTCCTCTGGCTGTGTGATGTCATCTAAGAGCAAAATAGAAAAATTGTAATTCATAATGAAGTGTTTGCAGGATAAAAAACTTTGTAATTTTGTAATGAAACGTTGAAACTAACCTTCCATATCCATGTCAGAAACAGCAGGGGAATGAGATATATCCCCATCAAGAAATTTACTTGAACTGCATTTCTTTTTCATCCATTTATAATATGCATGTGAAATTGCAGCTTCACTTCCTGGTGGTCCTCCAAACAGGAACTTGAAATCCGGATTATCAATCTCCTTTTGACAGGTCATGTCTTCAAATTCATTACCATTCTTTGCAATATAGTGGCATAAAACTTCAATCATTCGAGTTGTATTCTCATCTCTAGGCTTAGGTGGAGGGATATCAGATGTAATATTAAGGTCAGATGTATCTTTCACACCCTTATCAGAATCATTGACAGCTGTGGAGGTTAAATTATCATCATTCATGTCAGCAACAGAAGGCTTTCTAGAACTTGGACTGAGTTCAGCATCTGTGGAGAGAGATTCGTGGGGAGGAGAAGGTGGAAGAGGTGGAGGTCCTGGAGGAGGAGAAGATGGCGGAGGTGGTGGTGGTGGTAGGTGACCCAATGATCCAAAAGGAGCATGAGTGAAGTAACTTAAAGAGGGTGGAGGAGGTAGTAAGGGAGGAGGTGGGAGTCTATAAAAATGTTGTCCTTGTGGATGTGGTTGTGGTTGTGGTGGTGGTGGTATTCTTGAGTAAGAGTGTTGTGGAATCAAGTAAGCTGAAGAGCCTTGTTGGAGTGGAGGAGGAGGTGGTGGAGTGACAGCTGGCAACCGCTGCCCAAATTGCTGATAATTCCCCTTATTATACATGGCAATTGGCTTTATTCTTATTGAAACTCACAGACCCTCGCTTCCACAATATAACAACACTTGCAGCAACCAAATCATCAGCAATGTCTCCGTTATAACCCTATCAACCATAAATGAAATCGGTATGATCAAGCCACAACATGTTTCCTTGTTACAGAAGCATTAATAAACCAGAAGCATTTAGCATATAACTTAATTGTAACTTAACAAAATATAGCAGAAGTGGAATCAGATGAGATTATTTTGGGATCTGAAGACAAAACTACATTTGTCGGAGTAGGTTGTCAACTGTGATAGCATGGGAAACAAAAGCGAGTCGGAGATGCAAACCCTAACTTCTCTACCATGCTCTGTTCTCGTGTTCTAGACTGTGAAAGTTTGAATTTCGAAGTAAATCAGAGAGAGGATTAAGCAAATCATGAAAGGTACACGTTATAAACGCCTGGATGGTTCAAGGATAATGCAAGCAGACTGCGGAGCAATGCATAAATCTCAAGCCCTACTCCATTATCCGAGAAATTAACAACAATTACACATTTGTGCTTATATAAACAAATCATGGATAACCATCATAGCTCATGAACGATACGCATGACAACAGCAACACCACCACCCTTCCCTTGTATCTTAGGAAAAGATTTTTGAATAAGATTTGCATAACCAATTTTAGAAAGCTTATGGACCTGATGCGGGGATGTTTGATCGATTTTGAAATTTGGATTACCTTATTAATCCTCTACGACACTTGATAAACGATTGAATTCGTAAATCCGTGGAATTAATTCGCACATCAAGAACCTTGAGGTGGAATCCCTAATAAATCCTTCCGGAATCAATGAATCTTGTTGTTATGGTGATATCTGCAAGGCAGATACGACGGATTTAAAGGATCGGGAAAAGGCGCTCGAGAAACGAGTGACGCGAGCGGAGGGAGAGATAGCAGTGATGGTAAAGAGGGTTTTTGATTTTTGCATCGTTATGTTTACGCAGCTACAACACTTGTTGTTAGTTCCGACATTAACAAAAAAAAAAAAAAAAAAAAAAAAAAAAAAAAAAAAAAAATTTCGAATCTAAGAGAAATGAAAAGAAAACTTATCCAAATCAAATGAAAAAGTAAAAGAGGGAAAGTGATCATTTATTTTTCCTCATTTTTTTGTTTAATGAAACTCGATAACACCAATTTCTTATATTTTTCTTTTAATTTTCACTGATTTTTTTTTCTCTCGTTAAGTTGAACTCGACTCATAAATTGTTCCTATAAGATAAAATAAAATAAAAATGAAATTCGCTACATTTATTTCGTTATAGTATTTTACAAATTTAGGTTTATTGTGTTGTAGTTGATGTAACCCAGTTTCCAAAGATTGAGGCTAGTTGATGTAATGCAGGTTCTAAATATAAAATATATGATATGGATATGGAGTTGACGACGTTAATCTCTTTGGTCTGAAATAAAAAATCACATGAAAACCTAGGTTAATTAAGAATAAGCTCGATCTTATGCTTTAACTCTCTGGTTGGTATTTGTATAGTTAGGAGAGAATAATATGAGAACAATAAATGTGTGTTTGCTTATCGATATCTTGTTTGTGAGTGGTATTTATAATGTTGGCACAACAAACAAATAATGCATTTTAGTGTTGATTCAAAGTACTAAGTACAAGATACCTTTGTGACAAATGGTCCATTGCTCCCTTCCTATTTGGTGGGTTAAATATGGACATCTTTGGTGTGAATTCATAGGTTCACGTCTATAATTGTTTCTACCACCCATGTTTTTATTGGATCATTGACTAGGAGGGCCATGCTTTGACGATTCTTTAAGATCAGAAATCGAGGGATGGAATGGTTATAGGTGATGTTGGGGGAGTTTATGGACGGTTCTGATGATGTATTTGCCTTTCTGTTGGGTTAAGGGATCGGTGGATAGATAGTTGGAATTGGAGTAGGACTCGGGATATAAACGAGGTTGTGACTTTTACATAATTAATTGAGCTTAGTCAAATGTTGGTAGATGTGCAACTTTTCGAAAACAAAGATGAATGGTGTTAGAATCTGAATGAAATGAATAAGTTCACAAATAAAGATATAAGAAAGTATATGTAACATCCATAAATATTCACAAAAAGTTTAAACTTTTCAAACATCCAAAAACCACCATTTATTACAAATTGTTTTCAAAATAGTTTATCGTTATAGTAATCCCATAAATCATGACATAAAACGCGAGGAGGTGCACGATCAGGCCTTCAACTTCTCGCAATCATCTGAAGTAAAACAAAATCTACAACTGTAAGCCAAAGCTTAGTGAGTTCCCCCAATATACTGATACATACAAATAATACACATAATGATAGCATGTAATGGGTCCACATCTCTACAAACTGGATTACCCATAAGTCCACAGTATGAGTCTGGCATGCCCTCCCTGGCCCTCAACACATATATGGCTTGCTCTCGAGCCTACAGCATAAGTATGGCTTGCTCCCTCAGTCCTTAGACTAGAATATAAATGATTAGCCATCAATACGAGTCTGGCATGCCCTGTCCAACCCTCAGTTCGTATCTAGAATGCTTATGAGTCCTCAGTATGAGTCTGGTATGCATTCCCTAGCCCCCACCCCATATCTGGCAACCTCAACCCAACCCACACAACATGTCGACATGTAACAGATAAATACACATACAAATAATCATACAGTATCACAAGTAGTCCTACAAATCTACCAGTCTAGCATACCAACTAGCATGCATATCTAATTCATACTCAGCATATCAATAACTATTGGGATATCAATCCAATAGGTCGGCCTTGGTACCTTTGACCCCTAAGTATAGTGAGGAAAACTCACCTGACAAGTAACATTGAACTGATAAGATCCAACTCTCAAATCGCGACTTCAAACTCAACGGCCTACAACCACCATGAGACTAATTCCATCAAAAATCCTAAAATACCCAAAATACCCGCAAGGTCAAACTTGGTCAAAGCCAACAGTCAACAGTCAAGGTCAATAGTTGAGGTCAACAGTCCATGTTGACCCAACTCGTCCGGTGCATCTATCGACTCATCAAGTCCCTTCAGTACTCAAAAAAACGAAAAAGACCCAAACCAGCTCGCCAAGTTGCTAGAACAACTCGTCGAGTTTCTACAACATCCAGAAAGTAGGAAAACCCGGCTAAACTCGCCGAGTTCTCCTAGTCTTAAAGCATGCAACCAATTTCCAAGTGAATCTAGTGCCACAAACCATAGATCTGGTCCCTTAGAACTGAATTACCACGTAAAGTTGCTAACTTTACGTCCATGCATGGCATTGATATGGGCATATTTAGTTATAAAATTCATGCATTATCTTAATACTTTATGTTGATTTTGTCTCATTTAATGAACAAAAGGTGCTTAATTAGATTAAATATTTCATTTTCAGCAACAAATACATGCTCGAAAGGAAAATGAAGCGGAACTAGCGATTGGACGCTTGGATCATGGATTTTGAAGAAAGAAGGACGTTGTTGGACAGCTTGACCCCTCGTCAGTGTTTTGGCCATATCTCATGAACCGTAACTTCGATTGACGAGATTCAAAATGTTCTGAAAACTAGACACAATTTCGGATGACTTTCGTGTTTTGAGAAAATGCTGATTCCAAACGTACTTGGCGAGTAGGGTCGATTACTCGCCGAGTTGGTCTGAAGTTTCGCGATTCTGGACACGCTGACTTGCCGTACACGGGTTTTAAGTGACGGACTCGCCGAGTAGGTCACTGGACTCGCGAGTAGACTCTGTTTTGTGAAAATCTATATAAAGGGACTTTCAGATCGATACCCTAGCATATAGATGAACCCTTGGAGGCCAATTGTCGACTAAAGGTGCTGCTGGAGCGTGGGAAGCAAGGGAATCAACCCTACATTCAATTTTAAGGAGAATCAAGTCAAAATCAAGTTTACTCTTACCTAATCTCTTGTTTGAACTATGTTTTTACCAATTGATTTCGTTTTTGTGCTTGTTTCTGCTGTAATCATGAGCTAAAAACTCATAACTTCTGTTTAGGTAGATGAATTTGTGAACATGGATTGATTATTTGATTAGGATTAATTTTAATTGGTGATTATGTTTTATTAAGCTTGTTAAAGAACCTTATGTGTTAACAATAACTATTCTTCTGTTAATAAATTAGTAATTAAGTTGTATGAACATCTCTTAGTTATTAATTTCATATGATTTATTGTGACCACATAGTTGTATGTCTAGGAATAACGAATGTGAAACTAGAATTAACTAGAAGATAGGTAAGTTAATGTGTGAGATTGTTTGATGAACATCAGCAAGAGGTTAATTGAAGGGCCAATTTAATTAACCATTACAAGTCTTATTTAACCCGAATCAATAACTAGGAAATTCGTTAATTTAGACAACTGGCCACTGCTTGAGTTAATTTGTTTCCTAAGGATTAGTAATAGCAAACGTGAAACTAATCATCTTAGTCGGTAGCCAATGAAGAATTAATCCGATACATTGAAATCATCCATGGGAACAAATGAGTCGAACCTAAACAGAAGTCCTCTTTATTATTGAATTTAGTTGATTTTTATTTGCTTAGCTCTTAGTTTCTTAGTTTAAGTTTTAGTTAATTGTTTAAGTTTCTAGTCTTGCAAAACTAGAGAAAACCCCTTTCTATTACTTGTTTTATTTAGATAATATTAGCATCTATTTTAATTGTTTACCGTTCCCTGTGTTCGATACCCTACTTACCTGAACTAAACTGCTAATCGATAGGTACACTGCCTTTCGTGTGTTTGTCTTTGTGTTTAAGTTAGTAGGATTAAAACTAGTTGGTTTTACACACATCAAGTTTTTGGCGCCGTTGCCGGGGAACGGTTTTAAATAGTTAATTTTATTTGCTAATTGTTATCATTTTTTTATTTTATTTGTTGATTAATTTTTTTTATTTAGTTTATTTAGTTTATTTTTATTTTTATTTATTATGTATTTTCCAAATCTCGATGCTTTTGATGCTTTTCTTGAGGAAGTAGTACATGAAATTGAGCAAGAAGATGAGGAGTGTGGATGGGATGAAGATTTGAAGAAATTTGATAGATGGTTAGATAACATCTTGCCCAACACACAAGAACAATCTGAGTCACAAGAGCTAGAGTTAAAAGATGAAGAATTTAATCCAGAAAGAGATTTGGAGGAGCTGGAAAGGTTGCTAGCAGAGAGTTCGGATGAAGAACAAAAACAAGCTAAATTGCAGGAACCAACTCGTGGTTTGACCATTACCACAACATGGTCCCCTGTTCTTCCGGTTTGTGTTTCGAAGCATGGGGTGACGATTCCAACTTTAGAGAATGTTCTAAATCACGATCCATTTATGATTAGTATCCAACCGGTTCCAACCCTTCTCAATATTCTTGGGTTTTATGAATTCAAGCTTGTTTGGCCAATTTTTGAAGCAAAGAGTCGAATTTTACAAATTGGTCCAAAGAAAATATTTAATGCAACGGACAGATTGGCATTGAGTTTATTAGAAATTTATTAAGTTGAGAGTCCAGCTAAAAACTCGCACAAAAAGAAGCGCTTGCGGGAGGCAACCCGTCATTAGAGTTTCTTTTTTTTTTTTTCTAAACTTCTAGTGTTTAAGGATAATTTAGGATTTTTTTTTATTTTAATGTGTTTTTTTTTATTACTTGGTTTTTGTTTTTGATCTTTTCAGTTTGAGTGTAAGGATGCATGTGAGGGTCTATAGTCAAGGCTGATGAAGCGAGAAATCGAGTCTAGGCGAGAGAGGAAACAAAGTTTTGAGTCAAGCTATGAGTCGAATTGATAGAAGGGTTATAGACTGTTTATTACCTAAAGAAAAATGAGGGAAATTATTAGTTTATATAACCCCCATACATCATAAACGACTTGGGAAGAATAAAAGTTTTGTTACACAGCGGTCTACTCACCGAGTGCATCTTATGGACTCGCAGAG